TAGGGATATGGTCATCGTTTATTGTGGCAGACGGTAGAAGCGAAATGCATGTTTCCGTCTTTCAAGGTTTGAATAGATGCTTTTGAGTAGTGGATTACAAATGTTTTCAACCTGAAACTTTAAGGAGTACCTACACTGTTCATAAGAGTAAGAGTACGCAATGTTCATGAAAAAGTAGTTGTTTCGATTGAACTTCTTCTTTCGTGTAATCCAATGCTCATGTGAATGTAGTCGTTTTTAGCTGGTTTTATTCCGCTTTGTATCCAAAATGAAACCCAAACACGTTCTTTTCTAAAAATCAAACACTTCTAAAAATATAACCATTTCGAAGAAATATTCTAAATAAGGTCTGATTTGAGCTTTGTGAGGCATTATAATAATTCGAAGCAACATGATTGTAGGAAGATATATTGCTATCTACTTAACAAGCTAATCGATGCCAGTAATCGCACATTCAAAAGCAACATCTTGTTAATCTTTCACTCGCACAAGTTTCGACTTTTGAGGGTTGAAGTTTATGGAGGGGCTGGTTAACGGTTAACTGATTTTTCCAAACAGCAAGCAGAGCTGTGCGCTCTGATCTAACTAACCACCTTAATAAAGAAGGTATACGGTCATTTAGATTTGAATTCTATTCGAGTTTCGTCAGCTCGAACTAAAATGTCTTCAAGGGCATCAAGTGTTAGGGTTTTTTCTGTACGATAAATTACGAGTCAGCTTTTGTAAAATTTTGAAGATTTGAATATTTTCCCTGATTTCAGATAAGAAACTATAAGAAATTACGTAACTAACAGCACCTCTGTATATCATTCATACAGTACAATATTTGCTTGCCTCTCAGGGTCAAAGTTTTATCATTATTGTTTCTTCTGTCTACTGCATTTACACAAAAATCTGCGTACTCTACTTTAGCGACAGTGGAACAATAAGATTACCCGCCTAATTATGGATAAATAATAACGCCAAGGCTCACACACTTGTTGATTATCGCTATTACAATAACAGTATGTAGTAAGTCGATCCGCAACTGACTGAGAAAAATGCTAATACAATAACAATGAAAGCCACGCAAAACACCGTGTGTCAAGTATTCACTGTATCTCATATTTTCTATTTTTTTCTGTTTTTAACTTAAACCATCTAATATTATTTGAATTGTATTTGTATAAAGAATATTAATAAACGCAAGAAAATAATTAGATCATTCGGGTAAAGTTCCTTATGAGACCATGGTTCGATCAACATGTAAACTCGCACAGTGACTTGTGGCGCCCTCTATTGTCATGTGACACAGGTCATACGGTGCGAATGCGCTAATTTAATTTCCGTTTCGCTTGCTTATTGTTATTCTTCGTGAAAGAAGTGTTTGCGAACATACATTGCTTTAATTATTACGATGCCATCCTCTGAAAGTGATAATGATCCAGAATGGAAGCCAGCGGAAGTGACAAGAACCGTTTCTCGTGTATCAGTTCTCGGATAGGTTTCCGAGGTCAATAATTTGATATACTGTTGTCCGGGTTGAACCGCGTCTGTAATTTTCATCTTTTCGACGTTGCAGCTCCTGCTTTACAGCCATTTTCAAGAATCACTTGAAACTGTACTTACATGACTCGAGGACGAGGTCGCAATCTCCATTGCCCTCAAGTCTCGTCACTAGCTCTATGCTTGGTGAATGGCGGCTTTGAGTTCGTCTGGGTCCCTTGATCTGTTGTTGGAACTAGACAAACTTAAAGCCACCCTTCACCAAAACGACTATTCCGTCTCCCAAATACAAAGATCCATCCAATGACAGCAAATGCAAACTCCAGCCCACGAGTTACCTGTGAAACAGACCAACCAGGCGAAAGCTTTTCTTCCCAACATCCATGGAGTTACTGACAAAGTGGGCAGAATTCTGAAGAAACATAACGTGAAGACAGTATTCATAGCTAACAACCACTATTTTAAGAACAGCCAAGGACACGATTCGCAATGAAGCACATGGTGAAAAAACTCACAGGGCCTTTAATAAATTATAGGCCCTAAAGAAGCTTCCCACTAAAAGCGAAAGCTTGGCGGATAGGGGAACGGCCAGGGGACTGGAGGGCCTGTCCGGGAAGGCAATGTGGCCTTACGGACGGGGTCGCCGGACTCGTGGTCAGTGGCAGGAATGAATAGGGTGGGGGGAACTAGAACCCCCAAAAAGCCCTGCAAAACATGCCACCGCGTACCAGACTACCCAAGCTGAAGTGTAAGGAATCGTGCCGACAGCTGAATGGCCGCAGGGTGATATGCGTTTAGGTAACGAACGATCCCCTAGAGGAACCAGGCGAAACCTCATTGTAATTAGCCTTCCTCTGGTAATGCGGGGCTCTGCCAGAGCTGACATATCCTTCTCTTGCTACTCGTGGGAACATACATGAATACGGACAAAAAACAAACAAACAAAAAACAACAAATCCCGAGGCTGGTCAGTAATGCTCACCTCAATTTAAGGCGGGGGCTGGAGATGAACAGAAATGTACACCCCGAATTACCGCTCAGAGTGAGGCTGGACATAGCAGACCACTTCGCGATGTAACACAGAAGCCAAGGCGTAAGCGTATTAGCGGCGCCGAGGTCTAGAGGAGAAAGAGAGCGAATGAGGCAGGAAAGGCAGCAACTATGAGTGCACCCTCCCCCTCTTCCACTCCATCTCCAACAACAAGGGCACCACTTGCGGCGGGTGCCAAGAGCTCCGCCTTGAAAAACGGTAAGGAACCGGCTGCCACTGCAGGAAAGCGCCCTCACGAGGGCACCTCCACGGAGGGAATCCCAAGAAGGCCATGAAGGCTGCCTTGAGACACCTCAAGGTGGCCATCATAGATGAGACAAACCCGTATGGTAAGGTTACCGCAAATTGAGAGAGTCTCATCAAAAAACAACTGTTGGAGGAGCTGCACAAGATCATCTCCTCCGCCTCCAGCAACAACAGCAAACCGTCCACGTTCAAGTCGTGGACATACTCCGCTGAGATCATCAGAGTGGTCTGCGACGACGATGTGACGCTAGAGTGGCTGAAGAAAGCCACAATGAATATCAGGCCGTGGGAGGAGGCATCACCCGTTGTCTTCAGCGTAAATAAGCTCCCAAAGCTTATCAAAGCCTCACTCTGGATCCCGGAGGACGTCCACAAGACGACTGTCTACATTCCTAGGAAATACAGATGGCACAATTCAGCACCTCAGACCTCACTGCGGTTAAAGTTGAATGTCCAGTCGGAAAAGGCATATATATGGCGTTGATACTCTCATCGGTGTACCTCCCTTTAGATGCAGCGACTCAAACTCTCACCAGTTGAACTGGGGCAGCAAGGATATCAACGCCCGAGGTTAGTCCCTATATTAATATATAATCAAGAAAGATCTAACAATCTTGAACAGAGGCACGGAGCCGACATTTATTAACGCCCGTATCCAAACATCAATAGATATCGCGCTTACGACAGCCAAAATATCAAACAGAATCCAAGACTGGCAAGTTTACCTATACGGTAAACCAGGATCTCAGGACCACTGTAAAATCCCGTGACCCGAAGAGGACGGATGTAGCTCTGTACAGTCGACTCTTAAGAGGAGCTCTGCTAGAAACAGAGGTCCCGACTCCTGGCAACACTGAAGAACTGGAAAGGTACACGGTATCTATCCACAAAAAAATAGACATTGCCTACAAGGATTCCTGTCCGATGAGGATGGTTCAAACAAGCCCTGAATTGGAACACCTCAGGAAGAGAGCGAGAACTCTGGTTGGAATATTCAGAGCCTCTCTAGCTTTGAGGTATATTCCCAGTGAGTGGAGAGAAGTAAGAGTAGTATTTATACCCAAACCAGGTAGGATGGTACACCCTACCAAAAGCATTCCGACCAATTAGTCTCACATAATTTTTCTTAAAAACCATGGAGAGGCTACGTGAGCGGTACATTAGAGATGAAGTACTAGTTCACAACCCACTTCATTCAAATCAGCATGCATATACTCCGGGAAGGTCTACTGATTCGACCCTTTACCATGTGGTTGGCAGAATCGAGAGATCATTGGACAACAAAGAATCTACCCTAGGTATATTCATAGATATCGAGGGAGCGTTTGATAAAACAACCTTTCCAACAATCACCCAGCAACTACACTCCAGGAATGTAACCTGGTAGTGGGAGAATGGATACTCAAGATGCTATCTAGTAGAGCAATAAGTATTAATGTAGAAGACCTCACAGTGAAAGGACTGGTCATGAGGGGATGTCAACAGGGAGGGACAGTGAAAGGACTGGTCATGAGGGGATGTCCTCAGGGAGGGGTCTTATCACCCCTCCTCTGGAACATAGTTCTGGATACTCTGATTATTCACCTCAACAAAAATGGATTCTACATAATTGCATACGCAGATGTCATAGTTATCTTGCAGACCGGCAAATTTGTAAACACACTGTGCGATAGAGCGCAGGATGGGCTCAAATTAATAGAAACATGGTGTAAGGAACACTCACTGTCGATCAATCCCAAGAAGACTGAGATGGTCCTTTTCGCCAGGAAAAAAGTTTAACGGGCTTAAAACCTCCCGAAATCTTCAAAAGCAAAGTAATCTTCTCTGAAGAGGTAAAATACCTTGGTACTATCCTCGACAGGAAGCTAACATGGAACTCTCATCTACAGAGTAAAGCGAAAAGAGCATCCGTGGCTTATGAGCAATGCCGCAATACAGCGACTGTATTCCAGCTTCCCAGGATCACCTTGGGCGACCCTGGGAAGCTGGCGCCAAAGAAATATCTGGCGATGACCAGGAAAAATCTACGCCTAATAGTAGGATTTCTGACTGGTCACTGTCAACTAAGGATACACCTCCATAATATTGGGTTAGTGGACACACCTCTATGCAGGATGTGTGAACAGGAAGATGAGACTGTTAGGCATGTCCTGTGCGAGTGCCCGGAGTTATCGTCAATAAGAGAGTGTGTGTTCGGCGAGTCTTGGCCTACNATCACCTATCAAATGATTGAAGAATAATGAGCGAATATAGTTCTTCTTTAAGATATGACAAGATTTGAGATTATATCCACTTTCACAATTCTCGTCTTCCTCTGCTCTTTTCTATTCTTCTTGATAGCGAAACATTTTCAGTTTTCTTCATTTTTCATCTAAATTTTATCACTTTTCCAGCGAGGCCACAATAAAATTCCAAATCATTTCGATAAAATCCCACCACTTTCTGTCCTTTTGATTTCTCCCAAAAATGGTTTCAATTCTTTTAATGACGATAACTTTCCTTTCTTCAGATCTTGCTGTATCTCTTCTAGAGTCTTACCTTTTGTTTCTGGTACGAGGAAGTAAACCAAAAACGCGGAAACGAAATTACAAACAGAGAAGAACAAAAAAGGGGCGAACAGCCCAAAAGCGGAGTGGAAAACGTAAAAAATATAATTCGACACGAAAAGCATGATACCGAACACAAAAGTTAAGATACAAATTCCTTTGGCTTTGATGCTAGCGGAGAAAAGTTCCCCCAGCATCAAGGATGGTACGATTCCAATTCCGTACGAGGAAAATATTATATACATGACCATTCCGGCAAGTGGAAACCACTTGAAGTTTTCGACATTCACGTCTGGAAGTTCCTTATCTACATAAAAGTAAACGGACTCTAGAAGGAGGACCACAGCGCAAGGAAGGAGAGAAGCTATATAAGCTATTTTCCTCCCCATTATATCCATAGTGAAGCTTGCACAAACGTTCAGGAAAAAACATAAAGTCATGTAAATGATTGACGATGCTTCTGAACTAACATTTCCACCGGATTTTTTGAAAATATACATCGTGTATGCGATGAATACAGAAGAACCTCCTAAGAGTTGGGACATTCTCAAAAATACCCCTGCTATTAGCGCTCTTCTGTTACTGGCGATAAGGAACAGATCTCTCCAAGTTCCTGACTCCGAAATCTGGCGTTCAACGGCAGCTTTGAGTTCGTTGAATTCCTTGTTGATCTTTTTTTTCCTTCTGAAAATCCTAAGCGAGTTCTTGGCCTCCTGGTATCTTCCCTCCATGATGTAGAAATACGGAGACTCTGGCATGAACCAGAAGAATACAGCGAAGGTAAGTATCACCGGAGCACAAATGTAGGAGGTTTGCTGCACTCCAAAGTAGTTTCCTATCACAGTGATTGCTAGTTCCCCCAGGTACATGGAAGCTGTCATGCTGTTGCCCCAGATTCCCCTCACTTTCGGGGTGGAAATCTCCCCCATGTACATCGCTAGCGATGGAATGACGATACCATCACCTACACCTGAAAAAAGTTGATATTTGTAACGGAACCATTATTGATCAAATACGGGTTTGGGATTTTGGAGTTTTTGTTGAGATCAAAACGTGTCTGAAGACTGTATCGAGGAGAGATACATACGTGCAAGGAAATGAATATTTCAAAACATTATCTCGAAACATTCATCGCTCACACCTACCTACACGGCAGGTTCTGGTAGATAGATAAATATACTTTATTGTCCAAGAATAAATTCTCATTGACAAAGTGTGATGAAAATATAAATATATGTGTATATATATACATATAAAAATATAAATAAATAATGTGTATGACCCTTCAATATCAACTGTAGCAAGATCGTTGATGTATAATAGGAATAAAATGGGCCCTAGAACAGATCCTTGAGGTACCCCGCAATCAATAGCCGAAATTCCTGCCGGAAAACAACTACTTCCTTGGCTGATACCACGCTGCATATTGAGTTATGTCGGACAGAAATGTATGCAAGATACCACACAGAGGTTAGACTCACAAATTTTTTCCGTTCATGCAGCAGCAGTACCATGTTGAAATTATTCGAGTAGATCACCTACAGACCTGTTTCGAGATATTACGTCTCATCAGTTCAGGAAAAATATAACCCAAACAGCAAAGTGTACAAATCACAAATTATGATATTACAATCAAATAATTGCCTTAACGAAAGATCAGACATTGATCATCTCAGTGACATTTATCCCTTTCTACTTAATGATGATAAAAATTTTCATGATTTTCAAATCTACTCAATACTCAATACTCAATAACCTAATTCATAACAAATTTTAAAATTGCAACAAATCTCCAACCTCTCTATGGCAGGGCGTTACTTCGTTTTAATAACACTTTTTCATGTACTTGACAATAGGTTTTCTCATTGATAATCTCACAAAACAGCAGATTACTCTGATCACACTTGCATCATAATTGTTCTCTTTTGTTCCATAGTTCAACATGGACATACAAACAAACCACTTTTCAAACTGAATCACATGACAGCTGTCAGTGTCAACTATTTTATTATCTCTCTCTGTGATCTGCAGCCACATGGCATTTACCAGTATTTTATAATTTCAAACCATATAACTATTTTATTATGTAAATTTATTAAATAATGTTCCTTATATCACTGAGGAGTTAATCCTTTTTGAATGTGTTTTATTTTATTGACATGTTTCAACTGTTTAAATGTAACATTCTCTTCGACACGGCCATCCTCACTAACAGTAAGTTGAACCTTTTTGTAACAAATTTTATATTATTTCATCACTTTTGTAGCTCTTCTTTGATAATGATAATAAACTTCATCGAAATATTGGAATAACTTGTGTTATAAGAGTACACTTCCGTTTTGTTTATCATCCAAAGATAGTTCCTAAGTCTAAAGCGCACTCGCTTAATAACACTTTCTCATTGATAATTCATCTCACGAAACAACAGATAACCCTGATCATAGTTGCACCATAATTGTTCTCTTTTATTCCATAGTTCAACATAGACATACAAACAAACCATTTTTCAAACTGAATCACATGACAGCTTAGTGTCAACTGTTTTATTATCTCTCTCTGTGATCTGCAGCCACATGGCTTTTACCAGTATTTCATAATTTCAAACCATATTACGATTTTATTATGTAAATTTAAATAATCTTCCTCATATCAGTGAGGAGTGGTTTTATTTTATTGACATGTTTCAACTGTTTGAATGTAACATTCGTTTCGACACGGACATCCTCACTAACAGTAAGTTGAGCCTTTTTGTAATAAATTTTATATTATTGCATCACTTTTTGTAGCTCTTCCTTGATACTGATAATAAATTTTATCGAAATATTGGAATAACGTGTGTTATAAGAGTACACTTCCGTTCTGTTGATCACCCAAAGATAGTTCCTAAGTCTAAAGCGCACTCGTTTTTTTTTCGTGTAATTCATACGTTTCAAATTTTCATCTACTCACCAGCCAGAAACCTAGCTAAATAGAAGACGTAGATATTCCTCGCGAAGACCTTGAGTAACCAACACAATGTATATGGAATCGTTGATAATAATAGTGTCCCTCTTCTGCCAATGATATCGCATAATTTTGAAGACAATGGACAGAACAACATCATGGATATGGAAGGAATAGTGGAGAAATGTGCGGCCTCGTCCTCGCTAATACTGTAGTTATCATCTTCGGCAATTTTTAATATAAAAGGAGAAGGCCAGGTGTACAGCATGCCAGTGGTCAGAGAAGAGAAGCATCCTGTAATTAAATAATTTTCGTACCAGTATTTGACATGTAAAAAATGTACACTCACCCATACTGTATTATACTTAAATTCTATAATAGTATGCACTGAATTATTAAAAATATTATTGCATTGAAACGAAAACATTGTTGTCAGGTTGTGATTATATATCAAATCCTCTAAAGGAACAATTCGTTCAGGACACTGTAGATTAATGGACTGACATCCACCATAAAACAACTACTCTCCAGGGTGGTTGGGCGAGTTGATTGTCCTTGTTCATCTTTCACTGCCTGAACCACTGTGCATGCTGTTTTTGGCGAGTGCATTGGCTTGGAATGTGGGGGTTGAGTAAACCGGCCATCGGATGCCTGCTTCCATGTCGCTCCGCTGGATTCGGGAATGACAGAATCACTTGTGGTTCTGCTATTCCCTAACTGAATGGCATCCCAACGATGGCTTAATCCAAAGATGTGTGTATCCGGGTCGAGAGGATGAATGACACACTGAGCCTATCAGCTGTCTCTACGGAAACTTCGAGATACCGGGCGCCCTCTCATCGTAACATCGCCTTGTCAAGGTAATGCGGGGCTCAGCCGTGATTGACCTTTCCCTAGCTACTCGTGAAACTTTTATTGGCAGAGTAAACTTAAAATTCTTTCTGACGCTGAGTCTACAGAGGAGATGGATGTCTAGTTTACGACTCCAACTGACCTCCCTGCAAATTTAGTTCAGGAGCGAATCTACAGAAGAGATGGCGGTCGAGTTTAACATCCAACTGACCTCCCTGTAAATTTAGTTCAGGAGCGAGTCTACAGAGGAGATGGATGTCGAGTTTATGGATCCAACTGATCTCCCTGTAAATTTGGTTCAGGGGCGAGAGCTTCTCAACTCCCCAACTCCTGATCCAATAACTGAACCCAAAAAAAGCTTTGGTGATTAAAAATCCCTGCACGGTTGAATCTAAGGCATCGACAGGTGTAGCGGACTTTCAAAAACACGTCACCTTGACTATCCGACTACCTCATCAACGATGAAACAGCAGAGCATATACTTTGTGCCTTTGTGCCGAACTCTGAANTGACTATCCGACTACCTCATCAACGATGAAACAGCAGAGCATATACTTTGTGCCTTTGTGCCGAACTCTGAAAACCTGATTTGGTCCCCAACGAATCTTTTAACGATTCATGCTATTGATTCGTATTTTTGTTACAAGTCGTATACAAACAACTATAAACAGTCTTTTGTGATTTGTTATATCAAATTATACAACAATATTGAATGTTTATAATAAATACTATATTTTTCACTTCTTAACGGACTCAATTATATTCGCCTACGGAGCAGTCACTTGTAAATTATTTATTACTCCCCTGCTTAAGATGGGTAGCTGAAAGTTCTTTCAGACATAAAAGTGTATTTTATTTGCATTAAACCTGTTGCATTCATCTACTGTCGAAAGAATGTTACAGTAGATGAATGCAACTGCACCATAGATGACATGTTGAGCGCATCTAACAATCAATTTTCTACCAAACGAAGTGTGAAATCACTAACATTATGAAATATGTATCATAAAAATGTCAGAACTGAGAAAAATCGAAAGTGCCTTGTAAACGTGGCATGTAAAGAAAAAATAGGTCGTGAAATGACTTGTAAATTAGCAAATTCTATGATGGAATATCATGCAACTCTCGAACCTTGATTTGTCAACGTGAAGTTTCGCGATTTAGAATTCAGAAACCTTGTAGATGAAAATTGAACTTTGAAGTCCAGTTCTATTTTGAATCTTTTTTTTATTTGTAGGTTAAGTTTCATCATTTTTATTGTTCAATTACTTATTGGAGAGTTCGATTTTATTATGGTGAGTTTTGTATCCAAAATCATTACAGCATCTAACCTAATTGGATGGCTGTGTCAACAAAAGATCCACACCACACAAATGAATTCTGAACATTTATCTTGCTTTTCAGAAAACAACGAAGTTAAAAATAATAACAGTTGCAGGAATATACATACTTGAGGCATGTACATATGTATACCGCAATAAAAACAAATTGGTTGCCAACAGACCCTCACATAACCATTTGACACGAAATGGCCACTTACTTCTACCCAGTCAACATCCAACTGCTCTCTACCAAAAAAGTTTTGAATATCAGGGATGCAAACTGTATAACAAACTCCCCGATGACATTACGTTTCAGGAAATGTACATATTTTCATTGTCAAAAAACTGCTACACTGTTGAGGAGTTTCAGCCGTAACTTCATTTCCATGTTAATTGTACGGTTTATTTAATATACACTTTTATTATTTATACTTACACACGTAGAATTAGTAACTTTAATATATTTTATTGGTGGATGTGATGGTCCTATACACATCTAGATATATTCAATCATTCTAGTCATTTCATATGTATATACATTTTCTTATATCATTTCTCTACTTGAATTTATTGACGTTTTTCTCTTTTTTATTCGCATTATCACACTGTTGATGTGCAAACTAATTTGTGAAAATAAAGAAATTATTATTATTATTATTATTTGATGCTTCACTGGATCGATATTTCAAACACAGAAATAAGCAGCATGAACTTACCGATTAAAATCGCCACAATTTGTGGCCAATCCTCTCCTTCTTCTTCTGCTTCATCAGTGACTGCCAGCTCTTCGAAGTCCTCTTTTTCATCAACCATGTTTTGTTCCATTTGCCAGACTCTGGTTATTAACTGATCATATTTCGTGTATATCTCCCATTGTTTTCAAGATAAGTAATCCAACATAATAAAGGAATACAAGATTTGTTTACTATTCACCAATGTTGGCGATAAAGGCAATGCTACATAATTATTTTTACACTGGGTTGTATTATCATTGCCCGAATTCAAAACCAGGTACGGATTAGACATCTGTTGGGTTCAAATAATGAAAATTGACACTTACTTTGATTTATCAGTGAGAGTAGCACTGATCTCTTCCATGCCAGATGAATCGAACCGCTCAAAAATATTTCAGGCAAGTCGAAATTGCTATCGTTTGGATTTTTTTATCGAGTGCTTGTCCTATGAAGTAGACCGGAGTGTTGTTGAGATTGTGAAATACCAACCTAATTTTAAAAATGTAGATGAGTTGTATACTCGACTGAAATAATCATTAGTCTTTAATTGCTTCCTCTTTAAATGTTTTTTTTTTCATTTGTTCAAAATCCTTACTGTTGCCATTCATTGACCGAAGAATGATAAAAGGTGTAATAATAATAATGAGTGTATTAGCAGTCTTTTGGTAACAATATAAACCATGTAAAAAACAAAGCAATTCCTGGAAACTACAAGTAAATGATGAGTCCACAAAGCCGAAGTTGTCCGTGGATGAAGTTCATGTGTTTCTAATCTTTTGCCTTTTTTTGAAAAAGTTAACAAAGATGTTGGAAAATTAGTAGTCACCAAGTTACTAAATCGAACTTTGCGAACTCACTACGTAATAAATTCAGCACACATATAAATAATAGATCATTTCACTTTAAAAGAACTGATTATTTGTCACTAAATAATTTTTGAACATGGATTGGAACATTATACAAAACTCATTTCAGGTAAATACTGCTGTATAAAACTTCTATAATGTGTATGAAGCTCTGAATTTTCACTTATAAAAATGTTTGAACATGTTCATCTAGATATACCACTGATCTCACACCGAAAGTTCCTAGATTCACTCACACTCAAAGAAATATCCTTTTTTTTTGGCCCAAAAATATACAATAGCCTCCCAAACGAACTGAAAGAATATAAAATCTTCATAAATTTAAAGCAGACTCAAAAGCATATATTCTTTCTCATAGCCATCTTCAAAGTACTTTTTCCCCCGCACAACTCTATCAACAACAACAAAAAAATTACATATCTATATTCATACTATTATTAATGCTTTGCTTATTTTCTTATTATCAATACCTCAACATGAAATAAGTTTTGAGTATATTGCAATAAGTTTTGAGTTATTTTGTCGAATTTTGGTAACCACATGATTTTCATTTATTTTATCTTAATTGTTGCAATAAACNAAAAGACGATGCACCTTATTATTATTACTATATTATTATTATTTGGCTTTTACACACTGGATAAGTTATTGAATGGCAAAATAGACTGTTCTGCACTACTATCAGAAATTCAAATCTTTGTTTCAAGACTAGTATCTAGGCACAATGATACTTTTTCATGCAAAAAGGAACAAACTAACTTGATGTTGAAGTCACAAATTAACTTTATGTGACGTAATGCAAATGAGCTTTCGAATATCGATCGGAACGTTCACAATCTTTTATTTTATGTTTTCTCTTCTACTTCTTTTCCTTTTTTTTTTGTCTTACATCAAATAGTATAATGATAATGATAGTAATAATAAATAGTCTTGGCGAAGTTTAGAAAAATATATTTATTTACATAGAGATCTGTTATCAGTACTTGGAATCACTTTCCCCACCATAAACCTTATTCAGAATATATTTCTCTAAATGCTCAGTCCCATAATTATAATCCCTTTCACCCACTTCTAATTGACCATGGTTAGGATCAGCAACATAATGCTGCACCTTCTCGGTATTATCCCCGTAGTCTTCATAATTCTGATACTGTTGAGTGTCTTCATCGTACTCCTCAACCCCTTCGTGATCCGCCCCCGCTTCCCCTTCACCTTCTCCCTCTGCTTCTGTGTAATCTTCCGATTCCTTGACCTCTTCAGAACGAGGCTCAGTTTGGAACCTCCCAAAATCTGTTAGAGCCTGAGCAATCTCTTTGGTTACAGGCGAATCATAGGTGTGGTATGAAGTGGTAGTGATGTCGTACGGATCTGTTTCCAGAACTTTGTAGCTTCCCTTAACCTCAACTTCGTCTCCAGGTGGAGCGTAGGGGTTTCTCCTCTGCACCTCGAAATGCTCGCTTCGAACTAACTTTTTCGTAGACTTATAACCGTCATCATCGAAGTTATGAGGGTCTATATCGAAACTCTCACTCTGGTCCTTCAAGTTCGCAACTTGCTCCGGTTTATAGCTGTACCATCCGTGGTCATGATGGGTTTTCTTCGGCGTATACAGGTGCTTGTGCTTATGGTCATGCTTGTGACCATGTTTGTGTTTGTGATCGTGCTTGTGACCATGCTTGTGACCGTGATTGTGGCCGTGTTTGTGACCATGCTTGTGCTTGTGTTGATGACCGTGTTTGTGGCCATGGTCGTGTTTATGTTTGTGGCTGTGATCGTGTTTGTGGATTACGATATGTTTTTTCTCATGGCCTCCGTGGTGAACAGGGACTTTCTTGTAAACCGTGTGGGTGTGCTTGTGGTTGTTGATCAAAGTAGGTACGTGGATCTTCACGTGGACACTGCAAATAAACGAAATGTATTATTTGATTGGTAGAGACATTTTCTGAATACGTGACTGATGGAATAAGGTTTTTTATGCTCAGAAATGTATTTAATGAGACAGATAAAATCATATATTTCTTATCAAGAGGGAAATAATCCTGTTATAATAACACAGAATTGCATGAATTTCTATATTAGATATGAAAGTAACGTTCCATAAATATACATTGAGAGCGGTGTTGCATACATGTATAAAAATAGGGAAAGGGCCTATTTTGGCAAAACTAAGATTTGATATTTCGAAATGCAGTCCCGTACGAGTACGAATGTGGAATATCTCTACATCACTACACAGTATAACGTTGCTTCCCGCTGTCTGTCAGTTGTCTTCAAAACTACGAAACGGATTTTGATGCAGGTTTTTTAATAGATATAGTGATTCAAGAGGAAGGTTTATACGTATATAACATGCATGATATAAGAGAGGAGGTTTCTAATGTGATGTTGTAAATAAACACATTTTTGAAAAGAGAAACGAAAATTTCTATGTTTTTAACCACTTTTATTCGTAACTAACATTACTGCAGTTTCGTCCTATATGGACATTCTCAAATTACTACAATAAATAATACAATAAAGAGTTTATTGTATTAGTTTGAGAATGTCCATATAGGACGAAACTGCAGTAACGTTAGTTACAAATAAAAGTGGTAAAAAACACAAATTTTCATTTCTCTTTTCATTATGATCTCCTACCACGTAGTAATGGCTACATCCATCAATTTATTGAAACACATTTTTTGCTCTAATATTGCAAACGCTAGCTGAACCCTACGAGATAGATCAAAATAATGTACTACAGTATTGTACACCTTAAAGAGATCTACAAAAAAATCTGCGATGATATCATCATCAAAAACCATAATATGTCAATGACACTGCAAATTTGAGCATTTCTGGAAATTTCACTCTTTTCGCTGATGACACGACGATATTGTGGAACAACAAGAACTCAAATGATTTACACAATGTAAAATCTACTGATATGAAAAAAATCAAGGAGTGGTGTGATGTTAATTTGCTATTCTTCAATATCACTAAAACAAACATTTTATCATTCAGATGTGCTCTTGATGACCTGTTATTTGGTGATAATTTAGTGATCAATAACGAAACTCAATCTCACATTGACAATAAGCTCAAATTTATTGAACAAATCAAACAACTTGAAAGTAAAATTTGTTCTGCATGTTATGCAGTGAGAGTAACTTCAATAAATTTGGAAATCAAAACTGCTAGAACGGTGTATTACGTCCTCGTTGAATCCCACCTACATTATGGAATATTATTTTTGGGGAGTATGCAATTCATCAGCACTTCTGTTTGTATTGGTACTGCAGAAAAGGGGTATCAGGTATATGAGTAAGATTAAACTTTGTGATTCATGGAGACACAAAGTCGTTGAGCAAAATATTTTAACGGTGATTGTTTTGTTCATTTTGGAATCGGTTTGCCTCATTTACAAAGATATGTCCCTATTTGAGGCTTCATGCTATTCTTATAGCACTCGTTCTAGTGCGTTGAAATTGCCAATTCCTTTAACAAATTTGGTCAGGAATTCTATTTGTTACAGTGGGGTCAAGGTGTTAAATAACTTGCCCTCAGATATTATACAGGCAAATTTGACCAAGAAAATGTTTAGAATAAAAGTAAAAACATTTCTGGCTGATAGACCCTATTATAATTTGCAAGAGTTCTATAATGATAAATTTACGTGACAAAATATGGATATTTGAATTTAGGTTATATGAGATTTTTGTTTATATTCTTGTTTGGATATAAATGTTTGATTTATATTTAGTATCAGCATTGCACCCGTGCGGAGCCAGGGCGGTTCCCTAGTATCCTAAAATCCATTTCCTTGAGCAGCTAAGTAATATTTAATTTTTAGGTAGCTGTTCCATAGGCGTACATAATTGAGTCAGTCAAAGATTGAAAAATGTAGTATTTATTTTTATGAGCATTCACTGTTTTGTTATATAATTTGATATAACAAATCTTAATAGAATGTTTGGAGTTGTATGTGAACAAGATGAATTCCAAAAATATAGAACACTGCTTCAATTAGGTACTTCATTACGTGGAGAATGTATATCAATGATAAATTCCTTGCGTCTTAAGCAGTGTTTCATTGTTACTATCTTCATTCGGGATTGATGACCGTCATAGTTTGGAACTGAATCCTTAACGTTTCGCCAGTACAAGTGGTTGGCTCAGATTAGATTAGATTGTCGGGGAGCTAGCCCATGGCCTGATTCACTGCGACTATTTCAGATCTATTGTGATGTTCCCTGGTTGTTAGAGCTCATTGTCTAGCTTGATGTCTTTGATGAGAT